CAGGAGGAGAGGTGGATGTAGGTGGAGGTGTGGTGGTGTTTCTCTCTAAAATAAAGCAAACACAGTCATTAAGTTGTCGTCACATTGTGAATGTTGAAAGCTGCAGAAACACAGACAGGTGAGTGTGTCACCTGTGACAGTGATCCAGCTGGATGGAGACTCTCCATGACCGCTGATGTCACACTTGTAGAGGCCTTCATCAGACCTGGAAAAATGCTGGATGGTCATGTGACCTGTAGGCTGCTTCCTGATGAGGGAGCCATCTTTATAGAAAGCAGCTGGGAGGTTGGAGGGAGTGGTCTTTGTTTTACAGAGCAGAGTGACGTCATCTCCCTCCATCACAGGGAGGACAGGACTCTGCAGGATCACTGATCCACCTCAACACAGAGACAAACTACAGCATTTCATCCATTTACACACAGCTTCATCAACACTAACTCCACACACTCAGCTTACCAGTGACTGTCAGGTTAACCATGTTACTGATGGGACCCTCTCTGGACTCACACCAGTAAACTCCACTGTCATGAGGCATCATAGAGGTGTTACAGGAAGAACCAGCTGGTTTTCCCCATGTACTTCCACACTGAGACCTCTGTTGTTTGCTTGTGTTTCTCCTCAGAGTCCATCCAGCAGAGCTGTCGTCCTCCTCACAGCTCAGAGACACAAAGTCTCCTTTAAATATCTGAGAGCTGCTGGGACTCACAGTCAGACGAGCTGTGAGGGTTACAATGAAAAACTGATGATCTGTTAGACTTTTCTGGGAAACGTTTCCAGAAAGCTGTTTAATTACTTCATGTTTTATATCTGAAATCTATTGTGAAACATGAACCCAATCAGGTCATATCAGTGAGCATTTCTCAGTTTAAACTGTGACAGAAGAAGGTTACTGACCTTGGTTTGTTGTGCAGCTCAGCAGTGAGATCAGAACTAAAGAGAAATGACACTCAGGTTGATTTGACTGCATTTTAAACATTCTTTGCTTTATAAATGATTATTTCTCAGATCATGTATTCACTTAAATTCAGTGCACTTTAATTTTGTTTATAATGCCAAATCACAACAACAGTGGGCTGAAAGTTCTTTGTTTTGTAATTAATTTATGCTGAGACCCCCCAAAATCAGACAACTCCTTCTGACCAAGCACTTTGACACTTACAGCCACACAGTGTTCCTTCAAGCAAATCCAAGTGTGGCAAGACCCACAGACAATTGGCTGCCTGGGAACCTGTGGTTTGTACCTCAAGGGAAAGGAACCAATCAGTGGCTTATTGGGCACACGGGCTGAAGAGCATTTGTTCAGGGGCTGCTGCTTTGAACTGTGTGTGCAGTCTGTGCCGTATGTTTCTTTCTGTCACCCTTGTCTACAAGGCTAGTTTTGATTTTTACAGGTAAGACGTAAGTGAGCAAGTTGTTTTTGCATTGGTTGTTTGTTTGTTTTTTATTTCACTTTTGAAATTTAAAACCCTAATAATCCCACACGTGGGAAGTTTTGTAGTCCTCTGCATTTAACCAATTCACTCAGTGAAGCAGTGGGCAGCAACTAATCCAGCGCCCAGGGAGTAGTGTGCAGAGACAGTCCCTAGCTCAAGAGTAGCTCAGGGTAGCTGTTCGGTGGATTTAAACCCCCGACTTTCCAATCATGGAGCTATCCCTGCCACCATTTGTAGTAAATGCTGCTTCTTATTTTTTTAAATAAAACTTTTCAACTCCGATCTTCCCTGTGGGAATCTCATAATGGAGGCAAGCTACAGTTGTAGCCACAGCTGCC